ACCAAGGAAATGAGCAAGGAGATGTGTATGCCTGTCTCGAGGGTTAATGCGTTTCCTGTAACTGGAGACAAATTTTGAGTCCAAGTCTTTTGGTAAATTGGGCGAAAAGGGCAAACATGATTATTCACATAAGCTCTCAAGTAAGAAAGGAGAAAGCAAATTTTGGTTGGCACTAAATTCTCAAACAAATTTCTTACATGAGCCTTTTGAAGGGAGTTATTGCGGTACAAAATGGACATTCTTCTCAATCCCAGTTCTATGATCAATACAAATCAGTGCTCATTTAAGCCTAATTCCATTGCATATGTTGTTGAGCTTTGTGCAGATGTTTCAGAAACCCAGAAGGGCCTAATACAATCCATGTAGAATGAACTAAGTATGGCTTTGGAATTTTTCCAATTGACCTGATATAAGCCTGACCTGGCAATACTCTACGATCATGGGGGTCCCATGCTACATCAATGTCAGGTCAAAAAGTGGAGTCTCCAAATGGCTGTAAAAGTCCAGCCTCATCACCACAACTCTGATGCTACCATTAGCTTCTGTGACAACTTGATTTTATGTTCTCTAGTCTTCACATAAAGTCCTATCATCACTCACTCTGGAACCCGAAGTATGCTATTAACTTCTTGGTTTTGCAATACCCTCACTTTTTAGAATAATAAGACAGCTATCATTTTTAAAACCCTTTCACAGGGCCTTTAAATTTTATGATGGCAAGAAGAGCGTTGTGCTGCATGCTGTTACATTCCCACCATCTAGCCCAGACCTGACACAGAAGAGACCAAATGTCCATTGTTATGACAACCTCGAAAGCAAGCATGGTTCCCCTTTTACAGCTGAAGAAACTGATGCTCAGAAAGTTTGAGTTCCAGAAGCTAACACTGCTGGCAAATAGAGTGGCCAGGATTTGGGCCTGATCTGTCTAGCCCCACAAGGGCTATCCTGGACTAGCTCCATAAGGCTGCAGCAGTGGGAATAGACTGGGGCATGTTCCAAGACTCTCCCCAGCTCTGAAATGTGGATTCCCACAATGAGAGGGTGGTCAATAGTCTCGCTTTGTGAGACGCTGTGATGATTAATCTTGTCAATTTAATTGGATTGAGAAACACCCAGCAGATTAGTGGAGCATACGTCTGGGTGTGTTAATGGGAGTGTTTCCAGAGATGACTGGCATGTAGGCTGCCCAATTTGGTGAGGAAGGGAGAGATCCTAATTGTGGCTGGCAGCCCATATGGAAGGAAAAGAGGAAGAAGCATAAAGTTGGCCTGGGCTACCAAGCTCAAATCTGCTTGAGTGGTTTTGTCTTTTGCTGTTGTGGGCACCTATAGACATCAGATACCAGCTTCTTTGGCACTTCAGAGCAGATTCACACCAATGACTCTCTGTGAAGATTCCAGTATTTCAGCCTCAGGCTGGGGCTGCATCCTTGACCACCCTTTTTCTCAGGCTTCCAGCTCCTTGGGCTGAGAGCTACTGGATGCTCAGACTCTCCGGCATGTGGCTGGCTACTGTGGACTATCAGGTCTCTGAGCCTGAAGCCAATCAAATAAACCCCGTATGTAATTACAGATACACATAGGTATTCTGTTGAGACTCCTAAGCAATGCGGACCCCTCATCAGTTTTTCCCACATCCCTCTAAAGATAGCTCCCCAGCATTTTGAGCCTCTGCCAAGGTGGAAGCTCCATCAGGCAAGATGAAAACCAACATGTGTCACCAGGAAGGACTCTCTTTCATTCAGGTTGACATTATCACTTTCTGTTGCTGTTCCAGAGGACCCGCCTGCCTCATCCTCATCCTGCCCGCAAAGGCTGAGAAAAATTAGCATCACTTTGAAGCTAACCACTCAGATTTAGACCTCTATATGGGAAATAGCTGTGGATAAAGCAAGAAATGAATGGGAACAGCACTGTGAGCTACTTCATGGTCATTTATCTCCAATTCAAATTAGAATGAAATCTTCTATTTAGCTTTAATAATTTTTTGCTTCCTGGGTGCTCTTAATCTGATAATTCCTTTAATTCATGTGTTATTTATGGTAGATAAAATCCCTTGAGGCTCATAAAATAGTTTTGGTATTTGCTGGTAAAAGAACAAAGCAGATCTCGCACAGTGTTCATAGGAACTGGAAACATCTTCCCCTTAATTTTCATGGAGCAGAAGTTAGCAACTGCACAGGAGTAGTAGTGCATCCCTATAATCCCAGCACTCGGGAGGCAGAGGCAGGAGGATCACCACAGGTTCAAGCCCAGCCTGGGCTACATAGTGAGTTCAAAATTAGCCTGAACTATATAGCAAGACTCTGTCTCAAAAAACAAAAAAGTGGGCAACCCACTCAAGACCCCTTCTGTATTTCTTAGATGAACGCTTTCTTTCCCAATAAATAGATTCTTCTCTAAAAAAAAATAGAAGTTGGCAACTGCCTTCTCATCAAATGCAGGCAATTCATCATTTCACAGAACCATCTGTACCCTCTACTGCTTACCTATAGACTAGGCTTAAGGAAATCAACACTTAAGCCACTGTCAAGATTTCTTGTTTCTCCTGAGACCCTTTGTGATGGAGTGCTGTGTTTGTTGTCCTCACTAGATTTCCAACCAGGGAAAACAAATTGCTTCAGAGCTCAACTCAATTCTCTGCAGTTCTGCACCCCTCCTACATGTCTTTGCTTTAAGTTATATCAGATCTCTTCATGATCCAAATTTCTATTCATTTCCACCTCCGAACCCAGGTTGCATTTATAAATACCAATAATGTGTCCTTCCAAATCCACAGCATGGGCAACTGTAATTGACAACAACCTACTGGATATAAGAAGTTTGCTAAAAGAGTAGATTTTATGTGTTCTCAGCACACACACACACACACACGCACATGCACACACACACATTCACACACATACATATGCACACAATAGAAGCTACATGACATGATGAGTAGTTCAATTGGCTTGATTGTAATAATTACATCAGCAGTGCATTTATGTATCAAAACATCTTGCTGCATATCCTTAAAGACATACAATTTTTCTTCGTCAATTATATTGTAATAAATGAAAGAAAAAGAAGCTAATGTGTCCTTAAAAATAAGATCAATATGATCGTCCTCTACCTGTGTGACTGATATGAATGAGGAAGATCTTGGGCTCTGCTCTCATCAAAGCTCAGTAGCACAGAGGACACGAAATGAAGTGGAGAGAGGCAGAAGAAGGGGTCTCCATCCTGCCTTGTCTCTCCCTGCTGCCCACTCTCCTCTTAGCTGCCTGGACTGAGAGACCGGGGTGGAGGCTGCTTTGGCCACGGCTTTTCTCTCCAGGCACACAGCATAGGCCCTCCCACTGCACAGACAGGATAAAAAGAAAGAATCATGAAAAAGAAAACAGGGCCAGGTGTGGTGGCACACACCTGTAATCCCAGCACTTGGGAGGCTGAGGCAGGAGGATCATTGCGAGTCTGAGACCAGCCTGGGCTACAAAGTGAGCTCAAGGCCATCCTGAACTGCATAGCGAGACCCTGTCTCAAAAAGACAAAAACAAAGAAAAAGCAGGAAACTCGGAGGCAAAGGCAGTAGAAAAGAACAAGACATAGAGAGAAACAGGGACTGAGCTGGGAAATATCAGACCAGGCGGCACCAAGATTTACCTGTTAATAGGAACAGCAATAATGATAACAACTATAATAGACATTGAAAGCTCACTACATGTCAGTACTTTGTTAAATATGTCACATGTGCTCTTTTTTTTCTGTTATTTGGGGACTGAGCCCAGGGTCACACAGTTGCTACACATATTCTACCACTGAGCTACATCCCAGCCTCAGAAAATACACAATTTGTGAGATAAATCCTTGCCCTCCTGAGGCTGACACCCTAAAAAGAAAGTAAGATAAACAGGTAAAATATGTTGTATCTTAGAAAAAAGTGCTGAGGGTAAAAATGAAGCCAGGAGGAGAGAGGGTGCAGGTCTGGATGAGAGAACTGAGGGGCTGCCATGTTGGTGAGGCTGTCTCTGGAAGGCCTTGTTGGAAAGGTGACATTTGCAAATGATAGAAGCATTAGCTTTGCTCACTCCTGCGCATTTCTGGAACATTTTGAGACCCTCAGAATACCTAGTGTTTGAGCCAGTAGTGCATTTTGTTCTTTTATTACATTTTATCTCTCATTTCCATGTGTTTGAAGCAGAAAGATTATCAAAGTTTGAGCTCTCTGCATTGTCTTAACCAGACTCGTCATTTCTTTGAACCAGCTATGAACAGACTAAAGCCTTATCCAAGAAGAATAAACTTATCTTCTGTTTGGAAATCTTGTCCTGAAGAAGAAAGGCCAGAGGTTATTTCTCTGTATTTCATTCTGCTATTGTTATATAATTCCATATTAGGAGCTCCAGAACATAAGAGAAAAAAATGGAAGACTTTCAAGAGAAATGTAATTATGTCATTAATTTTATTCAGTCCTTAAGAATCGTTGGAATTATTTCACTTGCATTTGGAATCCAGTCCAATCAAGAAATCCTTGCATAAAACCAGGGCTGGGTCACATTTTTATAACTTGTTTTCTCTTGCAAAAACCCAGAGATGTTGCAGCAAATACTCACCACGGTCCCATTAACAGTTAGTACCTGGGGGAGCCACATAGACTAAAGAAAGGGTTAAAGCCCCAGGGCTGATGTGTAGGTTGATTTCATTACTGACTCTGGAGGTTGAAGAAGCAAGCTAAATAGACAGGATTGAGAGTTTGAAAACTCTAGGAAAACATGGTATGCCCATGCTCACACCAAAAAAGTGAAAACCTGAAATAGAACAATTACCATTCATGTGTTTAGCAGACATCTTGATAAAATCACTGAAATGAAATATTTCACTTAACAGGACATTTGAAATAGGAAGCTAAAGAGTTGATGCAGCAATAACTTGAAAACTCAGCAAGGAAAGGCTGCCAGAGAAATCTTGGCATTATTTTCGATGCCCATTGGTCAATAGCATCCAACGTGAGACTGCATGACCTATTTGGTGAAAAGACAGGACAGTTGACGTAGGGCTCTTCAGAAGCCAGCATAGGAGACCTCATTCACTTCTCTTCTCAATCTAGCAGCCAGTGGCATCAGGTTAGTAGGTTGGAATAAGTCATGGATGAAATATTCACCCCGTGGAAATCAGTAAATGCTACCAATCAAGACAGGACATTGTTTTCTTTTTATTTTCTCTGCCAGCCGATTGTTAAGCACACATCACAGAGGAAGAGGATCTGCATTATGATTCAGAAGCAAGAACGACAGCAGAAATTCCTGAATGCATAAAAATACGCAGAAGGTGTGAGGTAAGTAGGGTAATGATAAGGGTTTCCTAAGGAATTCAGTGGCAATTCATTTAAGGCAGGAGCATTCCTTTTAGTCTAGAAGATTCCAAAGAGTTATTAAACCAAGATTATATTGTAGTCATTGAAGAGAATGAAAAGCATTTGAGCTGGCTGATCTGTGTCTGATTAGAAATTTGAGGCAATTATTTTCAAGAGCACTTGGGAGGCCAAAATGAATTATTGACTTATGCTAGAATTTATTTCATAAAGTCAAAGTTAATTTTTTTACTTTAATCTTAAAAACCTCTAATCCCTAAAGATGGGAGAAATGAAGAAAAATGGACACATGTAAAATCAAGTTCATCTCAGTTTATTTCACAGTTCATATCAATTTCTGAATCACCAATAAAACCTTCAAACATTTCTAATTACCCTAATTATTATCTCTAAACATCAAAGCTGTCATCAAAACTAAAGAACTTAAACTAAACAGAGTGAAGTTACGGTACAAAGAACCACAAGAAAACAAATGTCTGTCACAAACTCTCCATGCTCCTAGCTTAGAATTCTGCAGGCTGACTGAACTCAAGCTAAATCCTGAAGATATATTAAGCTGACATCACTCACTGCTGAAATGGTCAAGTTTCTAGTAAATAGTTTAAATCAAGAACAGACAATTGGTGTACTTAGCCTCCTTTATACAGAATCCAAAAAATCTCTGCTTTTTCCCCCCAAGGTCCTTCAATAAAGCTTTTCTTGTGTATTCCTATAAAAGGAACTTCTCCTATTAAGTAGGGAAAATTAGTGATCAGTTAATATGGAGATTTCATTTGCAACATCTACATTCTTTCTGTAGGTATAGATGTCTTTGAAGTTTTAGATAGTCACAACCCATTATTTTGACATATCCTGATGGTCAAAAGCAGTCTTTGGAGAGAGTTTAGGAGGCTTTTTTTTGTTTCCTAATCTGCTACTTGCTAGGGTTGTGGCTTCGGACACGCTGCTTAGCAGAGATTGTTTTGCATTTGTATAAATGTGCTCAGTAATGCCCAGCCCTTACAGTTACAGTAAAGATTCAAAATAGACTGTATAGTACAAACCCTGCAAAAATGTTCTTATTGCTCTCCTAGCTAATCTTCTGTAATCAAGCGATGCGATTAAGTGCTGGGTACTGTGCACTTATTATACTGGGTACTTAGAGTCACAGTACTCATCTCTGGTCCCCTTACCACTCACCTAATCTTTACATTATCTTTTGGTTGTTGTCTTGGATCTGAGAATTCTGAATAGACCTGTCATTTTAATTATATAAAAATCAATGAAAGTTTAAGAAATGTGACTAGCAAGGACCATTTCTATAAAAAATAAAGTGAATGAATGTAAGTGCATCTTTAGAAAAATTCATAAACACAACAGAAAACAAATATTAATAATATATGAGGAATTGATGCATTAATTAAAAATGCTATAGAATTTCAGTCTTTTAAGGACTCAGCTAGAATATTACTTCACAAGTACCACTGAATTAGCCCTTCAATTAAAAATGAACAATGGGGAAAAGATGCAGTGTGTGTGTGTGTGTGTGTGTGTATGTGTATGTGTGTGGTAAATAAGTGGATAAGAAGGAGACTTGGATCAGTGCTTAAGGATAAAGGAAAATGATGACCAACGGGAAGGTACTTTGTACAATTATCTTCCATGCCCTAGTTCTATGTCATTAGGCAAATTGTATAGCCTTGACCCTAAAATGAGTTTATAGGAACAACCTCTGAAAGGCACGGACTGAATCAGAGTGTTTTAGGCCCGTTCTAATTCTTGGTCCTCACTGTTTTCCATGGGAAGAAATGACACATGCATAAAAAAAGAAAGAGAGAAGTTCAGTGTCCTATGCACATGAAAAACTCATCAAGACACAAACATTCAGAGGAGGCTGCTCCACCTGCCGAGGTGAAGTAACAAATATTAGTGAGAAGGCCACTCAGTGCCTTCCACGTAGAAATGAATGAGACAAAGCCGGGGCTCTCAGCTCAGCCTCCAACTGCGCCACAGGAGCAGACCTGCTTCCTCGCCTTGCTATTTCCAGGCAATGACAGTGAATTCATATAGTTCGCAAAGATCCAGAATCTTGACTCTGCCCTCATCTAATTAAATGTACGTAGATGTAGCTGGTGTTCAACAAAAGCATTTATAGTCTCAGTGTGAACCAAATTTCAGATTTAGTAGCAAATTGTGGCAAATTGTATCTTCTATGTGCAGTCAATAAATTAAAAGTCTGTGAAAAGTACTATCAGGGCTTTTATTAGGGTCCTCGGTCTCTCTGACTTTGCTTCGCTGAGTAATCAACAGAAAGGAAGGTGGTTTTAAAAGGCTAAATCACTGCCACTTGGTGGAGATAACTACCTGATCCCGTTAACCTGAGTCCCAAGGCCCTGGGCAGCCTCCCAGCAACATTAAATGAGATGCATCAAGATCAATCTGTTAATTTTTAATGAAGCTTCCAAACATCCTACACAACAGTGTAATTATTTGAAGAATGTCTTGCTGCTTCTTCACTATTCCTCTTTTCTGTGTATGTACTATTTTTAATCAGTTCCATTTCTTCTTCTGTCCCATAAAGACCACACAGTTCTCTGCTATTATCACCACTAACCAAAGCAGCCCATACCACTGAAGACCAAACATAATGAAAGAGCCTGTAAACAGAATGCCAGGATTTTCAAAGCAACCATATTCTCTAGCTCCACTTACAAAATAACAATGATAATAATACGTTCGTAGTTCTAACATAAGGACTTCACGTATTGTAAGTCCTCTTTGAAAATGACTTAATTTCAGATGAGGTCGGGCACATTCAGGGTGGTATGGCTGTAGACAATGATTTAATTTCAGAATGGTGCACACATGGCCATGCTTCCAGCGAGCCAGGTTATCTACAGTCTCATTTCAATTGATCATTTTCTTAATTAACTACATTTAGTGTGAAGCTTAATAAAATGAGTGGGAAGGGTTTAAAAATGAGCCATTAACATAGTGATTTGAATAAATGCAGACCTAGGCCACTGGGGACTTTACTCACTGGATAGTCCATGATTGTACAGGGTCAGGCACATAAAAGGTGCTCAATAAATACATTTCTTATTGCTGATGTCCATGGTTTATTGAAAGGAAAAGTCAATGCTTAAATTTTTCTTTTTTCTTGACCAATTTTGCATGCTTGAATCTGGTAACCAGAATGATTAATCTGAAAACAACAATATGCAGTATAAGAACCACTGTTTAACTCTGCCATCTTGTATGGTGAAGCTCTGCATCATTTCTAATGTTTTTTTATTACTTGTTACTGTCTTTGACTGTTTGATCAATCTTACATTCTTACGCCTGGTGAATTGAGCAACTTGGTTGAAGATAACAGTATGTAATGTAGCAACCATTGCTAATTCCATCATTGTGTTTTGAGGTCATGTATCATTTTTGTTGTTTTTGTGTTGTTTTGATTTTGCCTTCATTGTTGTTATGTTAGTTTTTTAAGATTTAAAATAAAAAATAAAATCAATAGATTTCATTAGATAATACTTTTCAAAGATTCATTTTTCCCAACCGCTAGAAAATCATTCTGGAGGGTAATAAAGATATAAACATCACAGGTCAGGACTTCTATGCAACAGTGGATGGCAGAGCTGACTTGAGTATTCACAGCCCACAGAACAAGCACCAGCCCTTCTGTTCCAGTTTGCAGAAGCACTGTCCCACCCTCCCAAGTGAAGCCACACACATCCCTACTACAGAGTTCCCAAAACTTAGAAGTAAAAATGCAGCATTTTCACTGAGTAAAGATTATTAAATATTTTAGAATAGAGTATCTCTTTTAATAACTCAAAAAATCAAAATTAGATCTTCTAGTAATTCTAGGTAAATTAAGAACTTACAAAAATCTTTTCACCAAAAGAGCCACACACAATTTAGTGCAAGTGACAGAAATTATCATAGGATCTTCCTGCTAGTATGTAAATTCCCAAAGGAGAGAATCTGTATCTGTCTACATACCTGTTTCCCTGGCACTTAAGGGTCATAGAATAGCTTCCGATTTCAAATAAGTAGAACTGGATTCAAATTTTAACTCTACCTTTGCTAAAGTGTATAATGAAGTCTCTGGAAGCCTCACTTTCCTCCTCTGTAGAAAAAAAAAAAAGAGAATCTCTCCATCATAGAGTATTGTGATGTATCAGGGCCAAGAATCTGCATTTCAGATGAGCATATGAAACACTTCTCACATAGGTTGTCTGCACAGATAATATTATGAGAAGCAATGCCTTTAATTAAAACTCCTCATCCAAATGAGGAAAGAGAGCTCCAGTAGGATTGAATGATTTACAAAAGAGTCCTCAGTTACTTTAAGCAAGGAAGGAGGAGAGAAAAAGAAAGGTAGAATGGCAATGAAGTACTAATTGTGGAACAAGCAAAAGTAACCTTTTGTGCCTATAGGTCCTGTAACCATCTCATCACAGAATGAACACACCACTCACTAATACATACATTTGTTTTTTAATAAAGTTATACCAAAGAATTGTTGAATGACAGACTTCATTTTTGGAGAATGTTGGGACATGCTTATCAAAATTGCCTTTTACAAGATGCAAACCAATTTGTCCTCCCAAGAGCAAAGTAAAAAAGGAAGGGGCCCTACTTCAGCATCCCACCAAATGGTGGCTGAGGAGGTCACAGAGCTACCTAGGGCTGCAACCAGACCTACAGGATTCCGTAGACTCCTGTACAATGTCACTCTCCAGGCTCAGCATTCTATTTCTAACACAGATCTCTGGAGCATCTTCAGTTTACAATATAATTTTGGACAGATGTTCTCATCTTAAACTTCGCTACTGATTTAGGAGCCAACTAGATTACTTCACCAGAACTACGGTTTTATATAAGATAAAAAAAACACAAAATCTTGCCCCCTGGGGGAAAAATGTTATTTTGAACAGTGAGCTTCAGTCAGCTTTACCACATAAACCAAAACAGAA